GGTAACACACAGTGACTCTCCCTTCGGCCTGTGGATGTGGTGGTGGCACTGGTGGGCGCGGTGGTGAGCAGCTGACAAGAACGGGCTGCCCAGAGGCGCCTACGTCTGCCCCGGGCAACCTGCTGCTTTTATAACATGGTAATTGAGTTGAACACAAAGTATAGTAACTGATATTCCTTCTTCCTGGATGAACGAGCAATGGTGGTGCAATAGCGGTGTCAGCACCCTCAACACGCCCGGTGGGCAGTGCCCGCTGCTGCTGCTTTTTGAAATGATGCTGTGCTTTGGTCGTGGCCCAAGCTGTGACGTGTTGCTGGGCTTCGCTTCTGTGGAGCACTGATCACTCACAGCGGGTTTGGTGGATACTGGTTGGGGCAAGTCCTGCCTGCCTCCACTTGGTCATCTTCCTATCAGTCCAGTGAGGTGTGTGGGGTTATTGTTTTGTTTGTTCGTTTTGGTCTTTCTGAAACGGTTTGAGGTGATAGCCATGAAGAGCAGTCAGTACCTAGAACTGTGCCACTAAGGAGAGGAAAGTCTGTCCGAGAAGGTGCGTTTCTTCCCAGAGCCGCCGTCCCACCCTTGGGGCCTCTGCTGGGAAAATAGAATCAAGTCTCAAACAATGCCTTTTTAATTGTATCTCTAGTATTATAGACGTAGGGCAGTACTGTATCATACCTCTGTGAATGTAAAGTACCTTGTACCTGCTTTATGATACGTAGTAGTGACCGTGCTTTATCAGAGCTGTTTTTAATGACGTTATTCTAGAGTGTTTTCTTTCCAGATGATGATGGAGAAGCTTAAAAGAAAAAGAAAAAAAAATGGTGCCAGGTACCACAACAGTAACAGAACTGCTGTTTTATGGAGATTTGTTTTTTACTTTTTTCTTTTTTTTTTTTATTGGAGTGTGCTGGATGTCTATAATTTTGTTCAGATGACTGCAGAACCTGGAAAGGCTGTTGCTGCTATTGATGCATAACATACTGCTATTGGTCTTTTTATATAAATAAATATATATATATATATATATATACATATATATATAATTTGAATTTTTGGAAACTAGCTGTGCTGTCAACTTTGGAAAAACTATCCCAGTTGTACTGTGTTGGGTTGGCATTGTACAGAAATTAACAGCCATATTGGTCTAGAAACGTTCAACATAATTTTTTCCATTTGTACAGGGGTAACGCACTGTATTAAATATGTAAGGTCTTAATCTACATGGGTTTGATTACAGAAACTAATAAAGTATTCTCTAAATAATGAGTCTTGGAGCTTCTAATCCATTCCTGAAATCTGAAGCAAGGCCTGTCGTGCACAGTGAACAACAACATGCAGAGACTGGTTTCTGACTTGGAGGAACATCTTGGCTCTGTACACAGTCCCAGTCGTTATCACCTGCACAAGGAATTTGATTTGTCAATTACTTGGCTTGTTGCCTAAAACCCCTTACCCAGAAGCATGGCTTCCAGCCTCAGCTTTAGGAAAACTAGTAATTCAGTCACTATTGATCTGTGCCTTCTTTACTCATGGGCCCTATGATTCTTAACACATAAAATAAGTACTAATAGCTCTACCTTTGAAGCCAACCTTTTCATGGTATAGCTTTTCTCAAGAGATGCTCCAAATTGGCGTGGTGGAGGAGGTTCAGAAAACAAATCTGTACCAAAGAGCTGTAGCCTCAAATACTTGCCTTCTCCAGTTCTCACTGGTTTCCATATTCTGGTCCTTAAGTTCAATGCTAAATTTTCAGAGCTTTCATTTGCAAGCCAAATTATCTTAATTTGCTCAGTTGATCATTATTAACTTGAAATGTCACTAATACCTTAGGCCCTTTGCTGGCTAGGGTCTCCAATGGGGAAAAATGACAGAAACCTACCCAAAGTAAGTAATATTTGTATAAGGGCTTCTCTGCCATATGATACCTCAAATGACGTTGCATTTAGTAGTTGATAGTGGGTTAGTGACAAACTGGACATTCTCTACCCCTTGGACTGCTGCTGAGAAGGAGCGTATGTTTTTGTCCTTAGCTAATGACAAGTTGTGTTTTATGGTGGAAGAAAAGATGGGGCGTGTAGGGTTGGGAGGGTATTTTGAAAAGGCCTCTTATTGACGTTTTCACAATAGAAGTTAGAGAAAGTGAAGCTCATACTCTTAGCCAGGGGCAAGATGTAGAAGGTAGAATCAGAATGCATCATGGGTTTTAAAAGGTGGAGAGTAGACTAGCAGGACCTCCATGTTGTAGGCTTGTAACAGCTCACCAAGGTTTTTCACGTTTGACTGCAGCATTATCATAGCTTCTGAGCACTTTTGGTATTTTCACATCCGCTTTCCAGTCTCCTCACAGTTAACCATAGCTCACCTGTTTATGAAAATCACCTTAACTTGATTACATTTTAGGTAGACATTTATTTTTCATCCAGTCCTCTGATTAAGCCCATGTCACCAGAGAAATGATTCCTTGGTTCTTTTCCTTCCTCCATCTGCTGGTCTTCACTCACCCTCAGGTGTAGGGCCGAGTCTGCTGTTGGCACTCAGAGCAGGGGCTCTGCCTTTTCGCCGGTTTGGCTTAGTGGATAGAGGGTCTGCCTGCAAACCAAAGGGTCCTGAGTTCGATTCTGGTCAAGGGCACATTAGTTGCTGGCTCCTCCAGCCCAGGCCCTGGTCAGTACACATGCAAAAGACAACTAATCTGTGTGTTTCTGTCTTTCCCTCTCGCTTCCACTCTAAAAGGTCGATGGAAAAATACCCTCTGGTGAGGATTAACAACAACAAAGCAGGGGCTCTGTGGATTTCTGAAAAACTCAGAAGACTGGCATCCAGTCTCAAGCATAGAGTGCTGTTGAGTTTCAGTAGAGAAGTTCATTTCTATTGTGGGGTGAACATGATATGACATCACTTGGATTCTTTTTAAAAAAAATATATATATATATATATATTTTATTGTTTTTTTACAGAGAGGAAAAGAGAGGGACAGAGTTATAAACATCGATCAGCTGCAACCAAGGTACATGCCCTTGACCGGAATCAAACCTGGGACCTTTCAGTCTGCAGGCCGACACTCTATCCCACTGAGCCAAACCGGTTTTGGCCACTTGGATTCTTAAAGTAAAAGTCCTCGACTATTTCTGGACTAGTGGCCAGTTGGGTGAATCAAACATCATGGATGCCTCAATTGCTTGATTTTATTTTTTCTTAAGCCTCACCTGAGAGTATTTTTTCCATTGACTTTTAGAGTGGAAGGGAGAGAGTAGAGAGAGAGAGACATCGATTGAACCTGCAACCTCAGTATGTGCCCTTAACCCTTGGCGGGAAGCAAGCCTGTGGCCCTTCAGTGTGAGGGCCGGCGCTTTGCCCACTGAGACACCCTGGCCAGGACTCAATTGATTGGTTTTAGGTATAAATTTATTTCCACCCAATCTTTAGATGAAGCCTATGCGTTTCTTTGGATGTCTGCTAAACTAGTCTTGCATGTCACTTCAGATGCGTCTGGACTACAACACACTCCCCGGGGCTCCCAGATAGAGCTCAGTTCCCCACAAGGCCATTGCACCAGCACAGGAACAAGATAAAAAACAGGCCATTTTCGAAATCGGTACGGTCACCGTGTTCCTTCAGAAGTTGATATCCAATACTGTAATTGCTTCTGATACATTCAGGCCCCACACAGAAATCTTTATACTTCGACAGCCTTCCACATTCGGGAGACTTCCGTGATGCTCTGGCCGAAGGAATCAGCTGGGAACACAGCGCCTGAGGTTCTGATTCAGCTTAAGTGACGGGTGGATTCCCACCTGGGGCTCAGCACTGCCGAGCCCTGGGAAAGGAGGGAAGAAAAAAATTGGGCACCTGCTTTCAAAAAGTATAGAATTGGGTTCGTGAGGAAATTGGAAATTGTTACACTTGCGCGTACACGTGTATTCCTCGCTGGGCTAAATGCACCTAGAAAAACATTTTAAAATGCAACAACAAAAAAATTAAATTAGTGGATTTTGCAAATATTTTCTCCATCCTTGCAACATCCGTAGGAGAAAGAGAATAACTCTTCTTTATAGGCAAGAAAACAGGCTCATCAAAGTTAAATGACTTGCCCAAGATCACTCAGCTCAAAGGTGGGAGCCCTGCCATCAATCAAGTCTTTTCAAAGCCAAACACCTGCCACCTCAGCAGGAGTTCTGTCAATCCCCAGAAAGGTGAGATAGAAGGTTCTGGTGGGGCTGGGAGGAGAGGTGGTTCGCTTCTGAATGTAGTCAGTGGGTATTATGTTCGCCAGCCTCTGCGTTGGTGCTTCCTCCTTGCCTCTGGCAGAATGCCCTTCCCCAGCTCTGCTCTCCAGACCCACCTTCTCCGGCCAAAGGGCCACACGGTTGGGGGTTTCTCCACTGCTGCAGGGATCATTTGTTTCAGCTGCTACCTTCTTAGGACGTAAATGACCGTCATTAACTCAGCATCCTGGGGGAGAGAGCCTCAGGAGGATAAAAGACAGGGGAGGCACTCTCTCCTTTCCTGAGGAGGAGGTGGAGTGGCTGAAATGTGGGCCCCGAGTCTACCCTAGCTGAGGTGTGGAAGGGGTTCTAGACTGAGCTGATCTGGCATCAAAAGGTAAGTCAGCTGGGCTTCCTCTTAAGAAACAAACTTTTCCAGCCAGAAGACCGGCCTGGCTCCTCTGAGGCTGAACCCATGGGGGTTGCTCAGCCCTGTCGTGGAGAGAGCACCACTGGAAGCCAGGCGGCCCCCCGTGGCCCTGGGGGGACACAGAACTTCTCTGCTCACCCCCCCCCCTCCTTTGTTTGATGGGACCTTAGCACCTGCCTGAGTCCTGTGAAAGGACACCCTGCAGGGTAGGCACTAACTGGGTGGCCGCTATGATTGCTGTTAGCAATATGGAGCCTGGTCCCCAGCCCCAGCTTTGTCCATGTCCCCTCCCTGTTCTTTAGAAGGTAAGTGCCCTGGGAGGAAAGCTCGGCAGGTGTCAGCGATGCCCCACAGGCCTGTGAGAGTTGGGCTGAGGCAGTGGCCCCCCCGTCTGAGGGGAAGCAGCACCATTCGAGGGCCCAGCTGTGCAATCCGGGGAGAGTCAGTTCACCTCCCTGGACCTCCATTGCCATATTGCAAGATGGAGGAAGAACGCCTGTCCTACCTCAGGGATGAGGGGCCCTTCCCCCCTTCCCCAGGGCAGGTATTTGAGGAAGTCCCTGCTTCAGGACAGGGTTGGGGCTGGGGACCGCTGCCGGAAGGACCCCCAGGCAGGGAAAGCCCTCCGCAGACCTTGCCAGGCTGGACCAGTAGATTCCTCTCACCCTGATGTCTGTGCTGCTGGTGCTTGTGTTTTAGACTCACAGGTGAACTGAATCTAAATTCCTCGCATCCTCTGAGCACTAGGCCATGGCTCAGAAGAGCCCTGCAGGCAACGGCCTGAGCTTCCCCTACAAGGACCTGGAGTACGAGGTGGCCAGACGCAGGCGCACCATGACCACCAGGTACGCGGAGCTTGGCGGTCGGGTGGGGGCCTGCAGCCGCTGGAGACACGGGTGAATGTCAGTGTGTTCACATGTGTGCGCCCATGACGGGGAGGAGACCGGTTTTGTGAATGAGAAACTGCTTTGTCACCCACTTGGGGGACCAGACGAGGGTGAGGGTGCTGGGATGAGTTTCAGATCCCTGGCTCTCAATTTGGGGTGATCAGGTTGCTAAGTTCTGAGATACCCTCTTAGTATAAAAATGTGTGAGTTTGCAACGTGTGGGCACAGCAAACCCTGAAGCTTTCCGTTACCCCGAAGGAGGCTGTAGGCTCCCTGCAGGCAGGGACGCGGTCCCCGTCCCCGAGACGTGCCTGGTGCCCAGTACTGAGCTCCTGGGGCCCTTAGGAAGGAAACAGTGTGCCTGCCGCTGGGTGGGGAGGAGGGGTAGGGGACCAGAGGGAGAGGGGGCACGGGGGTGGAAGAGAAGGTAAAACACTGGATGCCTAATTACATTTGCATTTTAGACAAACAACAAAAAGTTTATTTGGCCAAAGTACACCTGTGCAATATTTGTGATATGCTTATAGTAAAACATCAGTGGTTTATGTGAATTGCCCGTTGAACCGGGACCCTGTGTTTTCCTCTGCTAAATCTGATGGGTCACTGGGAGGGAGCCCCCTCTGTCGGGTCTGAAGACATAGTGGATAAAGGTGCCTGCAGGACACAGAGGGAGGGAGGGAGGGAGGGGGAGGGGGCTTTCATTTCTATTATATTAAAGCTGAGCCCCATCAAACTCATGTGCAGCCAGACGCCTTCCCCGCGGTGTGCCGGAAGGTTCTGCGGAGAAGCTGAGTCCCCGGGCGGAGGAACGCTTCCCGCCCAGCCGGTGCCCACCTGTCACTCGTGTCGGTTGCATGGAGGGACGGGTTCTATGCTCTAGTCCTAAGGAATGTGGCTCTAGAGTTTCTGCGAAGAAGCCTGCGTTGAAGTGATTCTAATACAGGAAATGGGAATAAAGAACAAAAATTGGCAGGGCTGACCCTTCTGAGTTGTCAGGTTGGGTATCCGTTTAAAAATAATGACTTTATTACACCTGATAAGTTAGCCAAAATGAATTTTTTTTTTAAACATTGATTTAAAATATGGACCTCTATCCAATATTGTGAACAACGCTTGCGGACCTTGGAGTTTATTGGAATATAAGATGCTAGTGAACTGCTAAATTAGGTGCAGTTTCTTAGTTCACATTGGATATGGGTTGTTGGAAGCCTTTTCTGATCGGTGTACATGGCAACCACTGGTTTAGACTGTCTTGGGTTGGGGGCTGTGGCCACTGTGCTCTGACATGCACGCGAGAAGGAAGAGGCCCCCTGCCCCCAATTCTGGGGCGTCTCCTAGCCCACACATGACCCCTCCCCATTACTCCACCTCCATTGAGCAACAGTGGGATTCAGCGCTGAGAGAAACGGCAGTGAACTTGGGATCAGGAGGTCTGAGTCTGCATTCTAGTCCTGCCTTTTACAGGCGACAGGACAGGGGTCAATTGCTATCTGTCTCTTACTTCCTGGGCTGAGAATCTGCATGTCCTTCGTTTCCCGTGCGTTTCTAGTCCCTGGAACAAAGCATGTGGTTGGGGACAGTTAAACCTGGGATTGAAGCACTCGATGGGCTGGCCTAGTTCCTTGAAGGCAGGGTTTGCCCAGCCCTGGGTGGGACGGAGGTGGAGGTAAGTTAGGCGGAAAGGAGAGTGGGAGTGAGCCCAGAGCTGAGCTGGCGGAGAATAGCTGGGATGCCAATGAAACGCTGAAACTGGAGAGATGGCTGGTAGGGGTGGACCCAGGGCCACGGCTTCCGTGGGACCCGGGCAGACAGCCGAGTTCCCTCTGAGACCAGTGGACTCGCAGTTCAATTCTTCTAGCGTGAGACTCATTTCACCAGGTGGCAGCTCTGTCAGCGTCTGTGAGTCAGGAAGCGGCTGTCTTTTGGGGCTGGGGGCTGAGGGGTCTTTTTTTTTCTTTTTTCTTTTCTTTAAAAAAATCCTATCTTTGTTTAAAATGACACCCATGATGCCTTTCCCTCCCAGAGAAGAGGTGCTTACCAAGGAAGGTGAGGAAGCCCTGGTGAGGAAGCTAAAGGGCTTGGATCAATTCCCTTCCCCTGACATGGCGGACCGCCCACCCCCCCCAGCCCCGCCTCCCTCTCCAGCTGACGACCTCCAAGTCTCCTAGGCACGCAGCACGTCAGCCATCTTGAACTGGACTTTGGCCTAAAACTCCAGAGGACAGTTTTGGGGAACTTTGCCTTGTCTTTGAAGACTGTCTTGGAAGGTCTTTGTTCCTTCTTTCCTGTCTTCTGCTCCTCACCCGCTGTGGCCCATTGTCATCCTCACCGATGCTATAGAGTCATCTTTGGTTCTGAGAGCCTCGTCTGTGATAATGTGTGTATATTTACCGTTAATTTCTGTCATGCTGCTTAAATGAAAAAAAAAAAAAAAAAAATCAGGCCTCCATGTTGGTTACTAAATCTGGATGGTGACAAGCCCAGGCCTCTGAGACTTCCCAGATCCAAGCTCCAGAGAACCTTGAGGTGTTTGGATTTTTGAAACTCAGCCTGTGGCCTAAGGGAGCTACATCGCATCCCCGGGGCTGGTGCGAGGCAGGCGGCAGGTCACATTGATGGGCAACACTTTTAAAGTTTGCTTCCAGGAGCTGTCAAGCTCATTAACGGGAGAAGTGTACCTTGACGAGCAGCCGAGAGCAGAGGCCTCACTGGGGGGGGGGAGTGTATGACTCAGACTCCAAGCTCCAGGTCCCGCTGATCCCAGAGCACCAGGAAGGATTCTCATGGCTCCGAACAGCCCGAAAGCATCACATGTGATCGTGGGGAGGCATCCTTGGGTGCCATCGCTCATATCACCACCTTTTCCTAGAGCCTCGGTAGGTGTCCGCTCACCACGCTGGCCCTTGACCGGCGCTCCGGTCCCCTTGCCCGCCCAGCCAGCGGCCGGGGAGTTGGTGTAGAAGCCAGGTTCCTCACCCGTGGCTGCGCAGCAACGTGCATCCGGGGTGTGTGGGGGTGCACCACAGGCCCCTGGCATTGCCCACTGGGCCTGCGACACACACAGGACGTCATCCCAGTCCCAGGAGGAAGCAGACCTGCGCTGCCCAATAGCACAGCCACTGGCCACAGGTGGCCACTTAGGTGTAAATCCATTAAAATTAAATAAAATGGAAAATTGGCCTCCTCAGTCACACTAACCGTATTTCAACAGCCCAGTAGTGACTTTCGAGGCTGGTGGCGGCCACCCTGGGTGGTGCTATTGGGCAGGTGGCTGGGCCAGAGGCCGAGGGGCCTGGCCACGGCCACAGTCGACGCAGCCTCGGCACACAGAGGAGGGGGAGGAGGGAGGGGCTAACAGACGAACTCTTGGGGCGGTTTTACTTCCCATTGTTGCTGAGTAAGTTTCAGGGCGGTTTCTTTCTGCTCGTTTGTGCAAAAACACATTCTTTATATATATATATAAACACATTCTTTATATATATATATATATAAATTTATATATATATAAATTTATATATATATAAATTTATATATATATAAATTTTATATATATATATATATATATATATATATATATATATTTTTTTTTTTTTTTTTTTACAGAGAGGAAGGGAGAGAGATAGAGAGCTAGAAACATTGATGAGAGAAATCATCGACTAGCCGCCTCTTGCATAACCCCCATCAGGGACGTGCCCACAACCAATGTACATGCCCCTGACCGGAATCGAACCCGGGACCTTTCAGTCCACAGACCAACGCTCTACCACTGAGCCAAACCAGCTTCAGCCAAAAACACATTCTTGAGCACATCCTATGCTGGCGGGGCAGGGTCCCGGGGGCACATCACTGAACAGAGGGCCGCCCGCCTGCACCCATGAGCTTACACTTCAGTGCGGAAAAGCGTGGACCGTGTAGTCAGTGGGTTGCATCACATCAGGGGATGAGGATGCAGGAACCGTCTTAAAATGGGACGACGGGGTAAGGGAGTGGCAGAGAAAGCAGCAGAGGCGAGCTGAGACGGGTGTGTGTGTGTGTGTGTGTGTGTCTGGGTAGGGCACCTAGGAAGGTGACATCTGAGTAAGGACTTGGGGACAGTGATGGAGTCTGGTGCGTGGGCATCAGGGCCAGCGGGAAGGGCCAGCGCAGAGCCCTGAGGACCAAGAGGGCCTGGGGGCCTGGTTGTTGAAAGGACAGCAGGGGCCAGGGCTTGGCTAGAGTGGAAGGAATCGGGAGACATTAGGAGATGAAGTCACGGCGGGGGGGGGGGGGGGCGGAGGCGGGGGCGGGCAGGGGCATGTTGGGGGTCTTTGCAAGGACTCTGCTTTTGACTTTGTGTGAAATGGGAAGCCGTGGGGTGGGAGTGGGGGGTCAGGAAAGGAGAAGCACGGTCTGGCTGGTGTTTCAGTGGGCCTCGCTGGCCGCTGAGTGGAGCTTGGGTCGCATGGGGAGGAACACACACTTCAGAGGAACCCAGGAGAAAGGCCACAGTGATCTGGACAGGAGCAGCTGGGTGTGTGCACTTGACAAGCCTTTGGGCCCCAGATAGTTTGGGGCATGAGAGCGCAGAAGTGACTTCTGCTTGTTCTGGGTAAAGCATTGTTCCAAGAGAAGTGACTTCACCAGCAGGGAAACCAGGGGACCCTGAGCTCTCTCTGGGGAAAAGGGCCTGAGCACCCTGAGGGTCCGATGACACAGGGGAGCTCTGACACGTGCCGCTGTCCCCGGTGGGACACGGGACAGCTAGAGAGACACAGGGAGCCGATGGGCTGGCGGCCGGAGCTGGAAGCGGGTGTGGACACCGGGATCTGTGCGGGTGACTAAAGCCAGGTGTGATGAGGAACTGACTCTGCCTGTTCCTCCCCTCCTGGTGGTGCCCCCCCCACACACACACACACTCATCTCAGCCACAAGGCCACCTTGAGGAGCATGGCGGAGAGGAAACCCCTGACTTGACCGAAAAAGCTAACAGAACAGAGTCCAAGAGGAACTGGCAAGAAGAAGGCGTTCTGCCCATTAAGTACGACGGCCCCTCGAGATAGAAATTAAGTTCAGTTATTATTAAAGAACGGCGCTGTAAGGTTTGCTTACCTGACGTGGTGGTTTATGAAACTCAGTGGAGTTGGGGTGAAGAGAGGGTGAGCTGAGGAAAGATGAAAAGTGGATTCTGGAAGGACCCAGAGGGCCAGGAGAGGGGGCTGGGAAGGTGTGCATTCCGGTGTTTGCCAGGTGTCATCCCGGGTAACACTCTGTCTCACACACACACACACACACACACACACACACACGCCTTGAGCATCCTGCCATCCCAGCGCCCAACCCAAAGGAACTCTCTGACGGTTGGAATCGGTGTACTCATCTCTTCTGCAAAATATCCCACAACATCCAAGGAGGGGGGCGCGTGCGATCGTTTTATTGCTCGGGCAGAGGCTATGCCGTGCCCACCGGCAACTCTGCCTGAAGCGTGAGAAGCAGCTAGAGTCAGTGGATCTTACACAAGCTCAGTGCTGGCCACAGAGCTCCCCCCTTCACCCCCGCCGCCCCCTCGTGGTGGGGCCTGTGCTAACCACACTGCCCGCAGTGCAAGGGGTGGCCATGGCGTCCACCCGGACTCCAGCCCGTTTCCCCAAACCCTCGTTCGCCCGGGGGAAGGCCGTTTATAAAGAGCCTCGTGGTTTCCATGAAGCAACGACTGCACGTGACAGCTTGTGCCCCAAATCACCAGGAAACTCCAACGATGTTGGCTGAACGCCCCTTTCTCTCAGGGCTGACAAAAGACAAGCGTATCTATTATAAAACTAGAGCCCGGGTGGCTATCCCACCCGCGGTCAGACGCAGCGACAGCGATGGGGTGCGTGCGTTCTCCTGGACTCACGGGAGCGTGGGGCGCGGGGGACAGCTGCTGGGGACCGGCTGGCCGCCCCCGGGGGGCTCCCCGGACGTCCCCTCCTGCCGCCCTCCCTGCCCCCCCGCGCCTGCCTCTCACGCCGCGGCCAGCCTGACGTCGTAGGTGACCATGTTGAAGTTGTCCCAGGCGAAGAGCTTCCTCTCCAGGGGGTTGTAGTCCACCATGCTGCTGTACCCGTAGCCGTTCCGGAACGGGATGGCCAGGGCCCGGCTGCCGCCCGAGCCCGTGTCGTAGGCGAAGTTGACGGCGGCCTCGGGCGCCGAGTAGCTGCTGACGGTGTACAAGGTGCCGCAGATGACGAAGGCGTTGGCCACCGACCGCTTCCGGATGTTGGTCTCCCAGGTCCGCTCGGGCTCCAGGCTCTCGGGGTTCAGCCTGGACAGGACGATGGCCCCCTTGGCCGCCTCGGTGCTGTAGATGGCCCACAGGCCCGACTCGTCCACCGCCAGGTCGATGTCCGTGTAGCCGCCCCAGGAGTACGGGAAGCGGCCGTGGTAGCCGGCCCCCGGGAGGTCCCTCTCGGCCCGCACGGTCCCGGAGGCCAGCTCGTACCGGACCAGCGCCCTGGACGCGGCCGCCTGGAAGTAGAGGCTGCCCCCGAGGACGGCGGCACCCGTGCTCTCCAGTGGCCGCGGCAGCACGTGCACCTTGGCCGGGGGGCCCTGCGCGAACTGGCCGGCGCCGCCGTACTCCAACACCCGGCGGATGTCCGAGCCCACCGTGTCGATCCTCCACGTGGTCTCCCGCGTGTAGGGGTGGACGGGCTTGGGGTCCCGCATCCACACCCCGTACTTGCCCGTGATGGTCTCGGCTGTGCGCAGCGTCACGGGCTCTCCCACCCACACGAGTTCCCCGCAACCTGGAGAATGAAAAAAACAAACAAAAACACACGGACTCACCGTCGTGTCTCTCAAGCCAGGAGCCCGGAGACGGGCCGGGAGCCGCTGGGACAGCCGCTGGGACAAGCCTGGGTTAAACCCTGGCTCCGCCACCTGCCGGCTGTGTGGCTTTCAGTCGGTTACTCTGCGGACAAGGCCTCGGTTCTCTCCTTGGGGAAGGGGATGATGACAGAGCTTTGGGTAGAAGGGCTGTCATACGTCTCCAGTGTCACTACGCATCCCCAGTTCTTGGTTAGAGGGGACGGCCAGTCCACGCTGGGAGCAGACGGGGTCAGAACTGAACCTTGACAGAGGCTGCCCGGGGCTTCGGGCTGTGTGTGTGTCATATTTGACTTACCCTGGGCAGCGTCTCATGTGTGTGCCCTGTGTTATTCCGTATGACTTCGTCTCGTTTAAAAATATAGATATAAGACAAAAGTCAGGTCGTTATAATAATCGCTAGAGCTTTACGAGCCCCGAAGGATGGACCCTATATTTCAGGCATCATTTTAATGCAGTAAAACCTGGATATAATTTTAAACATGGCATCAAGAGGTGGTTAAAAACTTAGACTTAGCAGAATCCTAAGTTTCTGTCCTTGACCGGGAACCTTCGGTTTCCTTAGAGAAGGTACCTGTCTCTCAGGGAATCATATTTTTGAATATTTCCAAGTGCCCCGTCCCCAGGCAGGACCGGCAGTGCGAGCAGTTACTGTCCACAACACGGAGGGGCACCGTTTGTGGAAAACCACAGTCTTTGCCTTCACCTCAGGCTCTCAGAACACCTTCACGTGGGGTCCTTGTACGTGTCCCAAGGACCCAAAGTTCAGTGACAGCCTCTGCGGCAGCCTGTGTGTCTGTCTGGCCCTGAGATACAGGTCAGAAGAATCCACTGGAAAAACCTCACTGTTCGTGAGTCATCAAGCCAATGTGACCATCACGTGGGCGAAGCAGACACATCTCCCTTCTCCCCGGGTGGGTGACAGGATCCCGAGTGTGGGTGACGGGCACGGGCCTTGCTGGGGACAGTCTGGTTCGGCCTGCAGAGGGAGCACCCGGGACCGGACGCAGAGGAAGACCGCAGAGAACACACGTAACTTCATACCCGTGTCCCCGCTGTCATTCCCCGGACGGCCAGGTGGGCGCTCCTTCAGGATTCGGGAGGCAGGCACCGCGGTTAACTCCGACTTCAGTTCCTGGAAGTCCGCGTTCTCCAGATCCAACCTAGAAGCTGGATTCAGAGAAAGAGACGGCGCCCGGCCTCACGCGAGGAAGAGGGCCGGTGCCTGGGCTGAGGATGGCGTTTCCATCGGCTGCCCACGAGGCGTGTGAGGACAGTAAATGGGGGAGGGGAGAGGGAGGCACAGCTGGACTTCGCTGACAGCTGTTGGAGCTGGGGTTGCTACCGTTCTCTCCACTTTTGGTGAACGTTGGGGAAATTCCGGAACAAGAAGCTCACAAATAATAACCTGCGTAGCAATGTGCAGAGCACGGCACAGGCTGTTAGAAATAAACTAAAGGCAGCTTGTACTCCGTTAAGATCACTCCCACCGGAAGGAACAGTGTATGGATCCAGGGATTCTGGGGAGGTCCTGGCCGCTCCTGGGGCGCCTGCGATTTGGTGACGAACATCCCCCCTCCGCCCGGGCATGATTTGGGGTTTCCTTTTCCCTTTGCCATGGACAAGCGTTCCTGTAAGAAGCAGCGTCTTAGGCTTGACACACTCCGTGGAAATATTCCGTCAGACCTCTTTCTGAGACCGGCGTTGGGCCAGGGAGGGCGGGCAGGAGTCCTACAGGATCTCAGGGGAGGGGAGAGGGGTGAGGACCCCGGTGAGGCCTGGTCACCACACTGCCACACATCACAGCTTTGGCAACAGCCCTCTCCTCATGGAACCCCGGGGTCCCTGCACGGACCCCCCTGGCTCTGCCGGGCTCCTGCAGCCTGTGCCTGACCCCCGGCCCGCAGCCACAGGTTGCTGGTCGCTCCACCTGCACTCGGGAGGTGGCCTTTGCAGCTCTGGACCGGCTCGGCCTCCTTCCCTGCTGTCTGATAGGCTGAACCCCACCTTCCGTCGGAGGCCCGAACTCCTTTAAGTTTGTCCTTCCTCAGCCCGAGGGTGCCATGCAGAGTGCGCTTACAGCTCATGGCATCTCCTTTATCAGGGCTGAGCATTCTCATAGGGCTCTCCCTCCTGGGAGCAAGCCCACACCTTCCTACCCCTCCCTCTCCCCCCACAGGGGTGCATCTCCCAAACCCTCATGGTCCCCGCGAGGTTTGCAACCGCGGGAGGCCATGGGCAGCAGCCGCTCGTCTGACCCTGTCCCCAGGCCCCCTTTTCTCTGACTTCCCAGTGAGCAAAAGCAGCCGCCCCAGTCAGTGTCTTACCTGTAACCTAACCTTTCTAGTGACCAAAGCCACCCTGCGGGGCTCTCCTGAGGCTGCTTCCATCCTCAGCCCTTCCCTGTCCCAGTCCCCAGCCTTAACAGATTCAGCTAACAAAAAACCCAACTCTTTGTATTAAATGTCCCCGACCTAACCAGAGGGTTACCAGAGGATTGGCAAAAAGCCTCAGAGTTGTTTCTCTGTCTCCCTCTCTCCCTCTCTCCCTCTCTCCCTCTCTCCCTCTCTCCCTCTCTCCCTCTGCCCCCCCCCCCCCCCCCGCCACTCTCCGAGGGAACCACACCTTAAGTGCTTTTGAAGTAAACAAGAACCACAATAAAACATAATCTCAGGGAATGGCTTCCAGGGTGACGGCCGGGCCAGTTCTCAGTTGGCGGGCGGACTGGCTGGATGGGAAGCCCGCTGGCTTCTTCTCGGGTGTGTCAGCCAGAGCATCTGGCCACAGGCAGACTCCCAGACCAGAGCTGTCTGGCGAGAGGACCAACGCCTGTGGGAGAGGATGCAAGGTTCGCGGTCCAACATCCCAAAGGCAGAGAAATAGTTATGCAAAGGGGCCTGGACCGGGCTGGAAGTCCTGGCTTCCCCGTTCAGTATGGCCGTGCGCCTGCTGTGCAACTTCGGGCAAGTTCCTCGACCTCTCTGAGCCCCAGTATGCTTAGCTCAAGGTATAAATAACATGGGTCTTCAGTAAGGATGTGTCAAAACAAAAGTTTCTCAGGAATGTTTTGAAATCATATCTCATTCTGAATATGGGGGTGGGGGGAAAAGAGAACATGAAAACATTGAGGACTTGATTCTATCAGACACCTCAACACGGTGAGGGCTTCGTTTCTATTAAAATTTAGTCCTTCTAGGGGGCAATGTTCATGTCGATTACAAAATTCTGTGAATCTGCATGTTCTTCTCTATCCACCTCATCTCTGCTTTATAGACACGTAGAGAGATGAACCCAGAAACAGAATGTATTAATTTGCATGTGTGTAGTATTCACAGACAAGTGACATTATAATGGTTTTTACTGTTATTTTCTGTCCTTGCCTGAAAAGTTAGGTCAGTATTGCATAAATGAGGAAGATGAGGAGACATTGGGGTGACACATCATTGCAGGTCCTCACGGGGCCTTGAGGACAGGGAAAACGTGCTGGGTGCTGGGTGCTGTCCCAACACGCCCAGTCTCTAGAATCAGCGTGTGCTATTGAATCGTTAGGCACACGTTGACATTTCGATCATTAAATGACATTTTAGAACATTCGTGGAGCTCGGGCAAAAGAGGCCCTTTGTCGCTACAATCCATTTCCTGGGAGGCTGCCCCCTGCTGGAGACCCGCATGATAATCCCGTGAGGGGCTGTGAGCTCCATCCCTGCTGCAGTGCCGGGTCTGTGGTGTCCCCGGGGCATGTCCTGCCACCACCTCCCGCCATTGCTATGGCAACCTGCCCGGTGCAGGTGCCTGGTGCTGGGACCTGGCCTCAGCTGCCTGCGGACTCACCAGAGGTTACTGTTTTGCCACAAACGGCTTACCTTTCTCTCTCTCGCTTTATGTACATTCTTTGCTGAGTCACTTGAAAGCACACTGGGGACCTCCAGACACCTCCTGACCACGATACCACATCTCACCCAAGGATCCGAACGTGAATCCGGGAGCAGCCTGCTCAGCAGCAGTCTACGGGGCATTTCCTCACCAGTCCCCACGCTGCCCCCTGGATGCCCGCACCGGTCCAGGCTCACCCCTGTCCCCTGCCATTGGTCTCCCCGCTCCCTTCCATTTGGACATTAACATCTTTGAAGAGTCCAGACCCGAGGTCGGCAAACGGCAGCTCGCGAGCCACATGCGGCTCTTTGGCCCCTTGGGTGTGGCGCTTCCACAAAATACCACGGCCCGGACGAGTCTATTTTGAAGAAGGGGCGTTAGAAGAAGTTTAAATTTTAAAAAATGTGCTTCTCCAAAGAAATGCCAATCGTCGTACTGTTGATATTTGCCTCTGTGGACTCATGAGTTTGCCGACCACTGGTCCTGCCTACCTGTCCCACGCCTGGCTGGGCTGGCTCGTTTCCTCCTGATGGGACGGCGTATTCAACAGGGAACACCTAGGGGCACCATGTCACAAAAAGTGACGCAAATCCCGTCTCCCCCGCGTGTGCCCCTGCCCCTCCCCGTGCACACACACACACACACACACACACACACGTCACCCCCAGGGCCACACTGGCCACGCAGCATCGCACTCAGCAGAAGCCTGGGCGTCCAGGGGGAGGAGCTGCCAGGGCAGGGCAGGGGAGGGGGCTCATGAGGAAATGCCCAGGCCATGGTCCGGTGGCTCCCATGCAGAGGGTCTCGGATGGGGACAGCTCCCCAAATAGCACGCCGGGGAACTGAGCCAGGGCTACCACTGCGTCTTTATGTGGCCACGGAAGGGCGTGGGGCACCTGTTACCATCCCGTAGATCTCTTGCCACTTCGTATGTGGAGGCCACGTTAGCCCCAAAGGGCAGGAACCGGCCGCTCTGAACGAGGACTCACAGCAGGACGGTTTTCTGAAAGGGGCCGCCCTGGGTGCGGCTCACCTGGCCCTCCCCGCCCTCCCTGTGCCCAGGGCCCTGAGAACGTGGTCCCGGGCGGGCGCACAGTCAGCACCATGAACCTGGCTAGCTGGGACCGTCGGGAGGTAACGTGCTGGGAATGGGTGAGCGATCGCTTTGCCCTCCTTCCTCCGCCCGCCTGGTGCTGACGCGCGGTGTCAGGGAGGGAGGAGGGGGCAGGCAGGGCACGCTGCTGCCACCACCTTACCTTCCCTGGAGCCTGGGGGCGCCTCCGGAGCGGCGCTGCGGGCCTGGGGACACTGGCCCCTCCGCAGCCTCTCCAGCTCCTGGCGGCTGCGCTCCAGCCTCCGGGCCAGGTCCTCGTTCTCCGCCTCCAGCACCGCCTTGTCCCGGAGGAGGTCGCCGTGGGCCGCCTCCAGCTCCCGGGCCTGGCTCTCCAGCCGGTCCCGCTCCCGCCGCAGGGCGTCCGGCTCCCCCGGCGGCGCCTCGGAGGGCTGTGCCCCGGTCAGCCGGCGGAGGAGGCCCTCCAGGGAGCGGAGCCGGGCCTCGGTGCGCTCCAGCTCGGCGCGCTGGCTGCCGCTGTCTCTCTGCAGGTCCCGGATGGCCGACATGGCCTGGCCCTGCTCGGGGCAGCTGGCCTCGGCGGGGCTGGCCACGCTGAAGGTGTACTGGCACCGGCCGCCCTGGTCGTTGGCCTTGCGGAGCCGGGCTGACCCGGCCCCCTCGCCCCACAGCAGGCAGCCCAGCAGCAGCAGCAGCTGGACGGCTGGCATCGTGGGCGCGTGGCCGCAGGGCTGTGCACGGAGCCCCCGGGGCAGAGGCTGGGCCAGGCTCCCTCTGGAAGGCTCCCCTGCCGGCGAGGTGCCCGGCGGGGTGGCCCCGCCGGGTCATATATACTGGGAGCCGGCCCTGCAGGGGGCAGAGAGGTGGCCACGTGAGGCCGGGTGGGGCCCGCACTGCGGGCAAGACGCTTAGACCACGACTTTCCAGAAGTCTGTTTTGAATTTCTTTTTTCTTTTTTTTTAAAAAGTCCCACTCCACGCATCACATGTCCCCATACTATCCCTCTACCCCGCTTCCCCCACCCCAGTTTTGCACACACACCCTCACACGTGCCCACCGCATCCAGCATGACCACCGTGGACACATTTAACGGGGGTTTATTTCCAGCTCCTGTCCCCAGTTATGCTGCAGACTCTGCTGGGAACCTGCTCAGGCTCAGGCACGGTGCTAGGAACCAGGACACTGACCTGCCTGAGGCACAGTCCCTGTTCCCTGTGGCAGCGACAGAGACCAGGCCAGCCAGGCACAGGGGCAGAGGGCCACCAGGCTCCAGGGCGGGCGGAAGCAGAACTTTTCCCTTGTCCCTGACTTTACAGCAAGTGTGGGTGTGTCTCTGGGAGAACTTTTTTTTTTTTTTTAATTTTTTTTAAAATATATTTTTATTGATTTTTTTACAGAGAGGGATAGAGAGTTAGAAATATTGATAAGAAACATCTATCAGCTGCCTCCTGCACACTCCCCACCAGGGATGTGCCTGCAACCAAGGCACATGCCCCTGACCGGAATCGAACCCGGGACCCCTGAGTCCACATGCCGACGCTCTATTCGCTGAGCCAAACCAGTCAGGGCTCTTTTAAAATATTTATTAATTGATTCTAGAGAGAGGGGGGAAGAAAGAGAAATAGAGAGAGAGGGGTGGGGGAGCTATTTGTTTGTTGTCCCACTTATGTAAGCATTCATCGGCTGATTCTTTATGTGCCCTGACTGGGGATACAACCTTGGTGTATTGGGACAACCCTCTATCGGCCAGAGCTTTGGAAGAACTTTCTTATGCCAGTCTTACAATGCAGGGACCAATGTCAATATTAGTCTCTACTGTGTGTGTGTGTGTGTGTGTGTGTATGCACACACATGTGTGCACAAGGTCCATGAACCCATGAACCTCATTGATAAAATCTCTGGAACTCTTCTCAGGAAGATGTTTTAAAATGCATAGGTTTGCAAAGAAAATGCATGACATTGAAATACTATAATCAAAGTATTTAGAAAATTTGAATACACCTATCCTTTATTAGCCTGTTAAGATCCAGGTCTGCCTGGGGTGGGGTGGGGTCTAATTTCAAAGTAGTTTTGGATGTAAATGCCATCACATCTTTGGTGGTAACAGAGTCGCAGGCCCTGCTAAAGCAATGTTAGATGTATGGCTGTATCCACAAGGCAGTGAAATGTTCAACCTAAATCTTAGTTAGAGGGTGGTGACAATAAAGATGTATTTTTTTCCCCCACCCAAGTTTATGGGATTTCTGAGCCCTAGGTTGAAAATCCCTATTCTATATGAATAAGCCAAAAGGAAAAAAAACAAAACACACACACACACACACACAAAAAAAAAGTAAAACAAACAAATGAAAAAAAAAAACAAAACCCTCACCAGCTATGCCAAGAGGAGGTCCATGCAAATCAGAACGTGAGATGTGGCCTCACACATAACTTTTAAATAATGTTTGCCAAGAACATCTCCGATACCTGCGAGGTGAATATTTCTGATAGCATCTTCAATACTGGCGAAGTGAATGTTCCAGAAGTGCCTGGCTGACTTACCTGGAAAGGGGGAAAATACATTTTGCTCAAAAGATTCTATTCTATTATTTGAATAATTCTAAAGTTAGACTTGAACTTGAAACATTTGCAAATCAGTGTGCGCTTACTGCTGACTAAAGGGTTCTATTCTTAGTTCCTGAATCAGATTAAAAAAAATTTACCAAAGTGTGTGTGTGTTTAAAGATATCATCAGCAAGATCTGGCTCGAATCTGTTTGGCTTTCCTGGTAAAAGATGGCTCCTGTACCACCAACTCCACAGCGGAAAAGGGTCCAGATAAAGCAAAGCTTTACTAATTCTGTTTGCTCAGGTGACTGCTGGTGAAGGAAGAGCATGGGCCTAGAAGCCATTGGTTTCCTTTTGGCGGTACAGCCATGACGTGTATAATACAGGGGCATAAGGCTGTAGTTCCCAGGGTGTTCCAGTTCACCCCTCAGCCCGTCAGTGAACCTTTGTGCTGTCATTTCCACCCCCCCCCCCCCCCCCCCCCCCCCCCCCCCCCAAACTCTGTCCTTCTCTTTACCTCCCCCAGCCTGCAGGCTAGTCCGTGGCATGAGCGGTCTCTGTTGAGCTGTGTGGATGCTCATCAGGGGTGTGGAGAGGAGCAATCCTTGGCATTTTCACTGGGTCCAGCCCAGGTCTGAAAGCTAGTCTTTCTCCATGTTCCTTATGGTTCCTGGCAAAAGCCACTGTCCATGGTGAAGGGAAGAACATGTGGCCTTTGGCTTCATGGAGCTCTCCTCAATCACCGTGGTTCCCATCCTTTCTTCCCCTGGGGCTCAACGTGATAAGGACTGCCAGCCCCCCCACCCCCACCCCGTCTGCTGGCTCTCAGCGCCTTATCCCCAAAGCCTACATGGAATGCCAAGGCCATGAGGGCCCTTCCGATGAGAAAACAGAGAGGCCCAGAGGAGAGGGACCTGCCCATGGTTCTCCCATGAGTGGCAGAACCAGAGGAAAGCTGAGCTCTCCTGATGCTGAGGTTTCCCACCTTCTTCCAAAAGCCAAGACCACACAATGCCCAGGGGTTGCCCAGAACAGACAAAAAGTTCCCGTCACTTTCCCCCAAGGACCGATGCTCCAGGACCATGATCGGCAAACGGTGCGGCTCTTTGGCCCCTTGAGTGTGGCTCTTCCACAAAATACCACGGCCTGGGCGAGTCTATTTTGAAGAAGTGGCTTTAGAAAAAGTTTAAAAATGTTGGCTCCCAAAAGAAACGTCAGTCGTCGTCCTGTTGATACTTGGCTGTGTGGATGAATGAGTTTGCCGACCACTGAGCTCGGACATGGGGGAGCTCCCTGTGGCCCCTTCAGTGGAGGCCTTCCCGGGAGGAACATGGTGATTTTGTGACACTGCAGCCTCTCACGAGCGAGAAGCATGGGGTTCACTGCGAGACACAGGAAACTCCCAGCTCCCTGAGCAGCAATGACCATCTGGCCAGCTCAGCCTGCCCTCTTCACCTTCCTGCCTCCCCCACCCCCTGGGGGTGTGTGTGTGTGTCAGGCCCGCACTCCCCCCCTGCCCCACCCCCTGGAATTCTCCTGGACCCGGAGGCCGCCTTCCCGCTGAGGAAACACTGTCCCCTCCAGCGTCTGACCACGTTCCAGCTCCGTGTGCTGTTAGACCGTGTTGCGGCTCCCTTTCCTTCCTGGCGCCTGGAGCCAGGGAGTCTCCCTCCAGCCCAGATGCTCACAAGGAGCCAGGAAGATGCTCCTGGGAGCGTGTCCCGCCAGCTTCAGGGCTAGGCTTGTTGCTGGAGCAGCAGCGGGAGGCGCTGCCGTGCAGGATGGAGGCGGCAGGGGGCGCTCGGGGGCAGCAGCCTCAAGGCCCATTGCGCTCCTTTCCCTTCGGTTTAACCTGGTTTGGCTACTGTTTAGCTCTTCGGCGAGAAACTGTCACCCCGAGAAGGTAGGGCTGTGGCTGCGTTGCTCACCGTTTTGTCCCCCCCAGTGTCTGGCCGATGTCAATGCTCAAAATATTGTCAGTGGAGGCATGGATGGACACATCATTCCAGCAGACAAAGAACAAGAAGATCCCTAAGGAATCGGAGCAGAGACTCCTGTGGCACCATCGTCTAGGCCAGTGGTCGGCAAACTCAGTCCACAGAGCCAAATGTCAACAGTATAATGATTGAAATTTCTTATGAGAGCCGAATTGTTTAAACTTCTTCAAAATAAGCTGAATGCCACGTCTTCAAAATAGATAGTTCCTCCCGAATTTATGTTACAAGATGTTGCTAGATGGTATAAGGGCTAAGAATCATTTCCCTATAAAATAGCTACCCCTTAATGTGCCCAGGCTGTACAGTAGGAGTTTTACATATAGAGTCTGTCAGAGTCTATCATCCTCTCAACCAGTCTACTGGAGGGTCAATATTCTCCCCACATCACTAGTTTCTGAGTCTTGAGGAGAGACACAGGGGTAATTTGGGGAGCTGGGATGTGAACCCAGCTTCTTTCCTGCCCTGGCCCTGGCCTCCCTCGGTGACAGGCTGGTTCTTCCTTATTTGACTGGAGGTAAGTCAGCTTCCCAGTAGATAGTACCCCAGCATGACATGTATTATTTTTAAAAAAATGTATTTTATTGAATTTTTACAGAGAGGAAGGGAGAGGGATAGAGAGCTAGAAACATCTATGAGCTGAGACCTGTTTGGTTCAATGGATAGAGCGTCGGCTTGAGGACTGAAAGGTCCTGGGTTTGATTCTGGTCAAGGGCATGTACCTTGGTTGTAGGCATATCCCCAGTAGGGATTGTGCAAGAGGCAGCTGGTCGATGACTCTCTCTCTCATTGATGTTCCTAGCTCTCTCTCTCCCTTCCTCTCTGTACAAAATCAATAAAATATGTTTAAAAAAAATCGATGAGAGAGAAACATCAACCAGCTGCCTCTTGCACACTCCGCAGTGGGGATGTGCCAGCAACCAATGTACATGCCCTTGACCGGAATCAAACCTGGGACCTTTCCACAGACTGATGCTCTATCCATTGAGCCAAACCAGTTTCAGTGAGCTGACATGTATTATTGAGAGAGGGGAATCATCACTAGAACCTTTCCATCTGTTCATTTCCTTCCTGAATTCTTTTATTCCACGGAGAACAGAAAATGTCTTCCCTGCTGACCAGTTAAATTCAAGCAACAGATTTCGGTACGCACGACTCAGAGGGGCTTTGAATGAGCACTGCCTGGCGCTATAGTTTATTTTTGAAGACAGAACTGTGATCTCCCACCTGCAAAACTAAGTCATGACAGAATGCCAAGAAGGTAGGCACGCACGCTGGCAATCTGGCTCCACGTGAGAACAGTTTGTTCTTTAAAAACCCAGCTATGGTAGGCTGGG